GCGAAGCGAGCGAACTGCTGTTGTGCTGTTGCGCGGTTGCGCTGTTGGGCGATTTCGTCGTCGGCGCGCACTCAAAAGGAGCGCCGAGGCGTGCGCAAGGCGGCTCGGACGCGGAGCCTGTACCGGCGGACTGTCGGCAAACTGGCCATGCAGAAGAGGCTGGCCAAAGCGACTAAACTCCGAGTGGCCGTCTGGTCGGTCAGGCGGTGGAGGCGAATGTGAATGGGCGTGTTGACGCTGAGGTAGATCCTGATCTCGATCTCGATCTCGATCTCGATCTCGATCTGGAGCTGGAGCAGGATCTGGCCCGCGAGGTCGGGCAGGCGAGCGAACAGACAGACAGGCTGGCAATCAGACAAGCAGACAAGCAGGCCAGCATGCGTGCAAGCAGAGTAACGAACGGATCTGCTTATTTAGGCTCGCCCGCCAACTTAGACGGCTCAACTGGCTAGCTCCACCAGACCACCATCTCCAGCGCCCTCGCCCTCTCCCTCTCACTATCCTTTGACCGGCAGCTCTCTCACCTGGTCGCTGTGTCCCTTTCTCTCTCACTCTCTCAGGTCGAAGTACACGTCAGAAAGGAGACTGGCCAATCGGGAGCCGGCATGACGTCGATCAATCCGACAGACAAGTTAAGGTCATGGTAAGGCGAAAGTTGTGATTGGTCGACTGGCAAAACCAGACAGCTGCCTCTGGCACTACAGCAGACAGGCCCCAGACAAGTTGTGACCGATTTTACTTGTCTCGCCGTCTCTGCTCCCCCTCCAACTCGCCAAGCTAACGCATCATTCGCCCTTTTCCTCTCTTCTACAATCATCCTCTCTCCCTCTCTTTCTCTCTCTCTCTCTCTCTCTCACACACACTCACACACACACAAACACATGCTCTCTCTCAGCCGTACTTTCAGCCGCTCCTCTTTCGCCAGTTTGGCTGAATGGACTAAGTCTGCCGGTTGCGCTTGTCTGCTGACCTTCGAAGGCAGTTTTTTCACTGCTTCTCGTGTACTTCTATTGCCCGCCTTCCCAACGCTCTTCATCTCACATGCCTCTGTTGCCACTTTGTCCGTCCGTCCGTCCGTCCGCCCGTCCGCCGAATCGCCAAAACCAAGGCAACGGCTACTCCCAGTTGACACAATCCCGATGCGGCCAGGCCATGTCGCATCATCAGGCCCCAGCAACTCGTTCAAGCGCCCAGTCACACGTTGCCGCCTCCCAAGACCCGCTGTTACCATGCTGGCCTTGTCGTCAAGGCACAGTTTGAGCAGACCAAGCCGGTGACACAGATATGCCTGGCGCTCAACTTTACCTGTATTGGC